GCAGGGCCCATCTTCTCCTCCTCCTCCTCCTCCTCCTCCACCACCACCACCACCACCCCCTCCCCCCACCCATTCCCCTCCTCCTCCTCCTCCTCCTCCTTTCCCTCCTCCTCCTTCTCCGCCTCCTCCTCCTTGTTCTCGTCGTCGTCGTCGCCCTCCTCCTCCTCCACCGCCCCCTCCCCCTCCTCCTCCTCCTCCTCCTCCTCCCTCCTCCTCCTCCTCCTCCTCCTCCTTCTCGTCGTCCTCGTCCTCCTCCTCCTCCTCGTCCTCCTCGTCCTCCTCCTCCTTCACCCCTCTCCTCCTCCTCCTCCACCTCCTCCTCCTCCTCCTCTTCCTTCTCCTCTCCTCTTCCTCTTCCTCCTCCTCCTCCTCCTCTCTTCCGCCCCCTCCCCCTTCTTCTCCCACTTCTCCTCCTTCTCCTCCTCCTCCGCCTCCTCATCCGCCTCCTACTCCTCACCCTCGTCCTTCTGCTCCTCCTGCTCCTCCTCCTCCTCCCACTCCTCCTCCTCCTCCTCCGCCCCCTCCCCCTTCTTCTCCCACTTCTCCTTCTCCTCCTCCTCCTCCTCCTCCTCTTCCTCTTCCTCCTCCTCCTTCTCCTCCTCCTCCTCCTCCTCTTTCTCCTTTTCCATCCCTTTTTCTTTTTTTCTTCAAGATAACTCCTTCCTGTCGCACCCCGGGGCAAGTCGCAAAAACGGACCGGACGTTTGACTTGAGACTCTTCACTATGGTTGACCCTGGTGCTTAAACGATGGCAGCAGTTTCGCAGATGGAGGGCGGGTGGTTTTCCAAATGTGGCTCTCGCCTTAGCGCTGTGCGCGTTCGCTTCAAACATTTGCAAGAGCTTCACGGATTGAGGGCGGGCCGTTTTCAAACTGTGGCTCTCGCCTTAGCGCCGCGCTCATTCGTTTTCCATGTTCGCAAGAGTTTCACGGATCGAAGGCGTGCCGTTTTCAATATGTGGTTCTCGCCTTAGCGCTGCGCGCATTCGCCTTTAACATTTGTAATAGTTTCATGAGTTGAGGGGGGGCCGCTTTCAACATGTCGCTCTCGCCTTGGCGCTGCCCACATTCGTTTCAACGTTTGCAGGGGTTTCACTGATTGACGGCGGCTCGTTTTCAAAATGTGGCTCTCGAATTACAGCGCCGCGTACATTCTTGGTGAACATTTGCAAGATGATCACGGGTTGAGGGGGGCCGCGCACATTCGTTTTCAACATTTTCGAGAGTTCCACGGGTTGAGGGCGGCCGCGCACATTCGTTTCAACACTTGCAAGAGTTTCACGGCTTGAGGGCGGACCGTCTTCAAACTGAGGCTCTCGCATAAGCGCCGCGCACATTCGTTTTCAACTTTTGCAGGAGTTTCACGTGTCGAGGGCGGGCAACTCTCGCCTTGGCGCCGCGCGCATTCGTTACCAACCTTTGCAAGAGGTTCGCCGATTGAGGGCGGGCCATTTTCAAGCTGTGGCTCTCGCCTTGGCGCCGCGCCCGTTCGTTTTTTTTTTTGTGTGTACAAAAAAATTGAAGAGTTTCACATCGGGCCGCTGCTCGGCGTATCGCGTGGGTAAGCAGGATGTCGTGCGACAGGCGGCAGGGCAGCGGCTCCCGCCACAGCTCGGCCGTGACCCCGGCGTGGCAGGTCCGTGCCCAGCTCAGCTTTATTATCAAGTTGACGTCGGGAGGCGTGGCGGCAGGCTCACCAATGGGTCGGCCCCGGCTGCTCAAGGAGGCCATGGCCGAGGCAGCCGTGGGGCTCCCAACCCAGCCCTTCGCCATGTTGTTGGCTGGCAGCGTTCGGCCGCGCTGCAGTGGTTTCGCGACCATGCCTTTTGACCTTGCCTTCAGACGGGCGCGACAGGAGCTGGAGCAGGTGCGGGCTGCTCAGCGCCGCGGGGATCCCGAAGTCACCGTCCGTGGAGTGCGGCAGCGAGCCATGGCCACGCTGCGACGGCTGGGCCTTCGAGCGGCGGGCCCATGTCCAGGCGGTGGAATTCGCCGGCGGCCAGGCCACTTCTGACCCGCAGCTCATGGCTTCGACGCTGGTCCGCCAGTGGAGCCAGTCCTTCCAGCAGGAAGGAGTCGACCGCACCGTGGACCTAGCCGCGTGGACGGAGGGGTTGCCGCAGCTCGCGGAGCTCCCCCTGGAGTGGAACATCACGGTGGAGGACGTGAGGAAGGCGGTCTGGTCGTCGGGCTCGTCAGCCCCAGGTCCCGACGGTATCCTTTACAGCATTCCTTTTGGAAAGGCATCCAAGAGGCGGGTCACATGGTGCTCTACGACTGCCTCAAAACGCTCATGGTGGATGGATCGGCAGATCGGCTCGCGGAAGAATTCGGCTCCGCCTACGATTGCTTCGGCCGTTGTGACTTCAATGCGAGCCTGCTGGTTCTGCTTCCGAAGAAGCCTGTCCGCGTCGACCCAGGCATGGACCACGTTTACAGACCAGAGGACACTAGACCGTGGATGTTCGTAGACACCAACCGCATTCGAGCCAGCGGTGGAACAACTGGTCAACGACTGTCAGCGGGGCTTCCTGCACAGCAGGTCCATCCTCGCCAACATAGTCGAGCTCGAGGCCATCATGCAGGAGGCTGCCCTCGGTTGGTCCCAGCCCACGGCGTGGCTCTTTGACATGACAGCCGCCTCCCCGTCGATCGAGCACGCAAAATGTTGGAGTTGTGCGGGCTTCCACTACCGCTGCGGAATGCGATCCAGGCCCTCTATGCAGATCAATGTTGCTGCCTGGCGATGCCCGGGGAGCGACGAGGCGGCTTACACATCTTTCATTTGGGTCCTGCAAGGATGCCCATTGAGTCCGCTCCTATGTGTTCTGGCCACAGAAGCTCCCAATCAGGCGCTTGCCCTGCTTGACGGGCGCGCTGCCTACAGAGCATCTGATGATTTTTCGCTGGTGGCAGAGGGCGGCCCTGTCTGCTGGCGCGCCGTCAAGCGGCATGTCGGCCTGCTGGCGAGGGCTTCGGGGCTCCACTCAACCTGCAGAAGTCGGTGGTCATCCTAATTTGGGACTGGCGCATGGACAGTGCCACGCAGGAGTGGGGCCAACACATGATGGAGTGGAGCAGCGTGCGGGTGTCGCACAGCGGCTCGTACCTAGGCTTCCAGGTTGGCCTCTGGCCGGCGAAGACGCTTTGGTGACACCAGTAAAGAAGTTCAAAGAGGCCGTGGTTGCCTGGGCGGAGCAGGGGCTGGGGATGTGCCTCACGGGGCAGGCTTGCAACGCGTGCATTCTCGGTAAACTGATGTACTTCGCGCAACGTCAGGGCTGCTTCCAGGATTGGCCAGCCACGGAAAAATGGGCCAGCCAACGCACTTTTCCAGGCCTGGCCGGGTGACTGCCGAGCTCGTCTGCGCAGGGCATGCAGGACGAGCTGGGCATGCCGATGCAGATGCATTCGCTGACAACTGCAGGCCCAGCAGCCCAGCTCCGAGCAGCGACCGTCGGAGGCGATCGCGGCCGGCAGCTGCGCCCGCCCGCGCTCGCAGCTGCCATGGCGCTCCTTGCGCGGCTGGCAGGCAGACACCTCGACGCCTGGGACGTCGAGTGGCGGTGGCATGCCTTGTTTCGCCACGGGCCGGCGCAGCGGCTCCGGCAGGTCCAAGACAATCGCGCGAGATGAAATCGCAGCCCAGACTGCTGTTGAAACCTCTCTCTTGGGTCTCCCCCCCAGCCGATCACTGCAAGGCGGTGGCGACAAGCTCGCAAGGGGTTTCAATCGGTAATTACGCGGCCCACTACGCGGCTTCTCTGGCAGCGGTTGTGGGTCCGGTCGGGCCATTAGGACCTTCGGCGGAAGCTGAAACAGCGGGGCCCGGGTCCCCTGGAGGGCCGGCGGGTCATGGTCTGCAAGAGGGTGATGAAGACGCCCCCCGCACCTGGCTGAACCGGCCGTCCCCCGCACCTGGCTGAACGGATGGTGCGCGGCTCGGCGCTTTGGCTCTTGCGGGCGCTCGTGCGCCGCGGGCGAGGACTGCCTCCGTCACTACCTGCGCTGCCCAGTCCTGCGGGAGTTGGGCTCCCGCCATTTCGGCTTGCAGGGCCCGGGAACCCCTGACGGGCGCACGCGGGCCGCCCTTCTGTGGGAGACAGGGTGCTCTCAGGAACGCCTCGCGCAGCTAGGGGCGCTCCTGGCCGTGGTTTATGAGATGCACAACATCCTCCGGCATCGCCGCGGCGGCCCGCTGCGGGCCCGGCAGCTTCTCGTCCAGGTGCCGCCGGAGATGCGGGCGCAGGCGGCGGCGGGGGACCGGTGAACTCCAGGCAGTGCTGCATTTTTTGTTTTAGGAAAAAATCCACGAGTTTGTTGCTGGTCGTCCCCCCTCTCTCCCTCCCTCCCTCCCCCCCTCCCCCTCCGCAGTGGTAATTTGTTGCACGCGGCCCCATCGCTGCTGGACCTCCGCAGGTCCGTCCGGCGCGCGGCCGTCTGGATGGCCTCCTATGGTCCGTTGCCCGGCTGGTTCGGCGGCTTTCGGTGCACCCAGACGTGAACAATTCGCCTTTTGCATGCGCCGCTTGGGGGTGTCAACGACGTCTTTTCCCCAATCAGAGCTTGCCTCTGTAGGGGTCCTAGCGGATTCATATGGTTAGGTGAGGTGGGTCGCCGACTTCGGCGGCCGGCCTGGGTGCCCAGGTGCCCGGGTGCCCGGATGCCCGGGTGCCCGGGGGTGCCCGGGTGCCCAGGTGCTCGGGTGCCCGGGGGTGCCTGGAGGTGCCCGGGGGTTCCCTGATGTGCCCTTGGGTGCCCGGGTGTTCCATCGCCTTATAGCCCTATAGCCCAGTAGCGTTATAGCCCTAGAGCCCTATAGCCCCATAGCCCCATAGCGCTATAGCCCTATATCCCTATAGCCCTATATTTAGCCTTATAATATTGCCCTATAGCCCTATAGCCCTATAGCCCTGTAGCCCTATAGCCGTATAGCCCTTCAGCCCTATAACCTTATAGCCATTTAGCCCTATAGCCCTATAGCCTTCTAGCCCTATAGCC